GAGCAGCTGCCCGCGTTTTCAAGCACGTATGGTGTTGGATTGTAAGGTGCCCAAGTACGTTTGCGAGGAAGAGAATGTGGCCAGGCTGGGAATGTGAGATTAGCGTAAGCGAGTTACAGGGCGTTGCATTGCACGGGCGAATTTACGTGCAAATCTTTCACCGTAGCATCAGTCCTCAGTTCACTTCTTGGAACGAACATCAGCATAGGTGCAAGCCCTCCGCTTGGAGGGATATGCAAACAAACATCCTGATAGGGGTAAACTCGCACGCTACCGAGCATTCAACCGAGCACATGCATGCTTAGTTGAATGGTGAGATGCGACCCCCCCTTCATTTCGTGCTCGGCAAGCCTGCCACCGCGTACCGGATATGTTGGCGATGTTACAGAACGCTGCACCTTGGTTTCTGTGCGCATTGCAATTGCGTACGTTGCTCGACCCCGCCGACCAAAACTACACGTGCCCAACTGAAGACATTCCCGGTGGTTGTGCAGCAGCTCTTGAGGCTGTTGCTGGCTGAAATCCATCCTGAGCTGTTGCAACACGGCTAACGCGGGCACGTCCCTATGCACAGCAAATAGCTGTTCCAAGCCAACAGCGGCGTCCTTGTCACCGACAAGGCTCTAAACGTCTTATCTGTTCTTATGTTTAATTAAGTTTACTCTGTATGTTATACTTTGCGCAACTTTGTAATTTGACTTTACTCTGAACAAGGTGCTGCCTCTTCGCCAGCGCTTCATCTTCCGCGGCAGTTTCACGAGCCCAGAGTTGCAAGCTACGACGTATGCTTTCGGTGCTTTTAGTTACTGCAAAGCATCCACGCAATAGTCCAGCCTGCATGCCGCGTGCGGCTATGGCCAACATGCCCACCTGCGCAACGCGCTGGCGCACCTGGTCCTTTTCCGCCAAGAAAATTTATATACACTTGTACAGGCGCATTTTGCGAATCGCACGCGCGCATCTGCGCGGCAAAATTCGCTCCTGACTCTTTTGGGACGATGTACGAACTGTTTATTCGCGAAGTACGACCGGACACATTTGTGCGAGGGGCTGCTTAACGAACTTTGCATATTTCTAATTATCCTGCTTCGCATTATGAAGGGAATAAAGACATTTATGCAATGACAGTTTGCGCGGCTACGCCAAGAGATGTCCACTGTCAACCCCTGAAGACGCCCTGTTTGCTATGATCCAGCTAATTTTTACAATGAAGACGCAGTAAAGATTTTGATGGTATAATTGATTTAGAGTGTTTTGCGGCCGTCGGGGACCTCGCCTTTGAACGTTAGCAGCAGGAAACAGAGCCTTGGAGCGGGAAACAGATGACGCTCTTGAAGCAGAGAGGCGAGTCTTTGCAACCATCCGGCAATGTGGCCTTGGCGGCAGATACACTCTTGGCTGTCCCAGGGGTCCCATTTCGGTCCCGCCGGGGCTTCGCGCGCCGATTCGCCGCAGCCCATGCATGCATATAATCATAACGCAGCTGTAGGTAGGCACGGCTCATGGGGGAAAGCAGGGGCTGGCGAGGAATCGGGGATACGGACACGCAGGCGGCAGGAGGCTAGGCGGGTCAGGAACAGGGGTCCCATTTCGGTCCCGCCGGGGCTTCGCGCGCCGATTCGCCGCAGCCCATGCATGCATATAATCATAACACTGCTGTAGGTAGGCGCGGCTCATGGGGGAAAGCAGGGGCTGGCGAGGAATCGGGGCATACGGACACGCAGGCGGCAGGAGGCTAGGCGGGTCAGGAACACGTAAGGTCCCATTTCGGTCCCGCCGGGGCTTCGCGCGCCGATTCGCCGCAGCCCATGCATGCATATAATCATAACACTGCTGTAGGTACGCGCGGCTCATGGGGGAAAGCAGGGGCTGGCGAGGAATCGGGCATACGGACACGCATGCGGCAGGAGGCTAGGCGGGTCAGGAACACGTAAGGTCCCATTTCGGTCCCGCCGGGGCTTCGCGCGCCGATTCGCCGCAGCCCATGCATGCATATAATCATAACGCAGCTGTAGGTACGCGCGGCTCATGGGGGAAAGCAGGGGCTGGCGAGGAATCGGGATACGGACACGCAGGCGGCAGGAGGCTAGGCGGGTCAGGAACACGTAAGGTCCCATTTCGGTCCCGCCGGGGCTTCGCGCGCCGATTCGCCCGCAGCCCATGCATGCATATAATCATAACACTGCTGTAGGTAGGCGCGGCTCATGGGGGAAAGCAGGGGCTGGCGAGGAATCGGGGATACGGACACGCAGGCGGCAGGAGGCTAGGCAGGTCAGGAACACGTAAGGTCCCATTTCGGTCCCGCCGGGGCTTCGCGCGCCGATTCGCCGCAGCCCATGCATGCATATAATCATAACACTGCTGTAGGTAGGCGCGGCTCATGGGGGAAAGCAGGGGCTGGCGAGGAATCGGGGATACGGACACGCAGGCGGCAGGAGGCTAGGCGGGTCAGGAACACGTAAGGTCCCATTTCGGTCCCGCCGGGGCTTCGCGCGCCGATTCGCCGCAGCCCATGCATGCATATAATCATAACACTGCTGTAGGTAGGCGCGGCTCATGGGGGAAAGCAGGGGCTGGCGAGGAATCGGGGATACGGACACGCAGGCGGCAGGAGGCTAGGCGGGTCAGGAACACGTAAGGTCCCATTTCGGTCCCGCCGGGGCTTCGCGCGCCGATTCGCCGCAGCCCATGCATGCATATAATCATAACACTGCTGTAGGTAGGCGCGGCTCATGGGGGAAAGCAGGGGCTGGCGAGGAATCGGGGATACGGACACGCAGGCGGCAGGAGGCTAGGCGGGTCAGGAACACGTAAGGTCCCATTTCGGTCCCGCCGGGGCTTCGCGCGCCGATTCGCCGCAGCCCATGCATGCATATAATCATAACACTGCTGTAGGTAGGCGCGGCTCATGGGGGAAAGCAGGGGCTGGCGAGGAATCGGGGATACGGACACGCAGGCGGCAGGAGGCTAGGCGGGTCAGGAACACGTAAGGTCCCATTTCGGTCCCGCCGGGGCTTCGCGCGCCGATTCGCCGCAGCCCATGCATGCATATAATCATAACGCAGCTGTAGGTAGGCGCGGCTCATGGGGGAAAGCAGGGGCTGGCGAGGAATCGGGCATACGGACACGCAGGCGGCAGGAGGCTAGGCGGGTCAGGAACACGTAAGGTCCCATTTCGGTCCCGCCGGGGCTTCGCGCGCCGATTCGCCGCAGCCCATGCATGCATATAATCATAACGCAGCTGTAGGTAGGCGCGGCTCATGGGGGCTGGCGAGGAATCCGGGCATACGGACACGCAGGCGGCAGGAGGCTAGGCGGGTCAGGAACACGTAAGGTCCCATTTCGGTCCCGCCGGGGCTTCGCGCGCCGATTCGCCGCAGCCCATGCATGCATATAATCATAACGCAGCTGTAGGTAGGCGCGGCGCATGGGGGAAAGCAGGGGCTGGCGAGGAATCGGGGATACGGACACGCAGGCGGCAGGAGGCTAGGCGGGTCAGGAACACGTAAGGTCCCATTTCGGTCCCGCCGGGGCTTCGCGCGCCGATTCGCCGCAGCCCATGCATGCATATAATCATAACGCAGCTGTAGGTACGCGCGGCGCATGGGGGAAAGCAGGGGCTGGCGAGATTCCGGGCATACGGACACGCAGGGGCACCTACTGGGAGGTGCCTACCCCCCAAGTAGGGGGGGCGCCCCGTGCCCCGCGCCCCCGTGCCCCGCGCTAGGCGTGTCAGCGTGTCAGATAAAGGTTAGGCCATCTCCCCGGCCGGCTATCCAGACGGGCGACGGCCGCTGTACCCCAAGAGACTGCATCGCGACAACGCGGCCTTCGAAGGCCTCATCGACCGGCCCCGTCGCCCATCAGTAGTGTTATTAGTTTCTATTTATCAAAGCTGACTGGTTGGCTTTCGGCTTTCGGCTTAAGACGGTTACTTGACCCACTTTTCAACCTTTAAACTTAACCAAACTTATTTCAACACAGATATTTCAATTAATTTCAATTATCTTTCAGATTTCAGAGGACGTGCAAGGGGTCGGGCCGAGGAATTCGGCAAGGCGTCCGGCTCATGACACAAGACAAAATCCATAAGGAGACACAATCATAATCGTAAATATAATATAATGTATAATATGTTTAACCTCCTTCTCGTGGCGCGTTCGGTTGGCGTTCGGTTGGCGGTCCGGCGGAGCGCATGTTACTGGACCCTGCCGTACGCTCGTCCCCAGTCCGGGGGCGTATGCTACCTACATACATACCTACCTACCTACATGCTACCCACACACCCTGTACCCCCCACACGTGCAAACCCACTTCCGCGGCGCGGCCGTGAACCCGCCGTGTCCGTGCCATTGCAGGGTATGGATCCACGCATCGTTGGATCCCACCCCGCACTCCGCATCCCACTGGCCCTGGGGGGTTGGGGAGGGGGAGCGGGACGGCGTGGGGGAGGGGCAGGAGTTACGAAGGAGAAGGAGGGGGAGGGGGGGAGCGCGTCACATGGTGCAAAAAACGAATAAGCAACTGCCCACTGACGCCCAAACCAACAAACTAGACGGGCCGCTACCATAACCCGGCGCAAAATAGGTACACATAGCTGTACATGGATAGTCAGCACCACCACCATCATCGCCACCACCACCACCACCACATCTCAACAACTCTCGCGCCGCCGCCCACGCGCCCAAACCCTCACAAACCTGGTACAGCAGTACGGGTTTGTACTGCAGTAGGTCTGACACCAACCCCTTGACGCTCTTCATGACGTCGTGTCCCATCACCGCATCCACCTCCCCCGAGCAGCTCTCCCACGCCAAGTCCGATGCGGGCGGCACCCCCGAGGGGGCGAGCAGCTGTCGCAAGGGGGGCGAGTTCAGGTACTCATCCACCTGGTTGCGGGAGTCGTACCCGGTGTTGCTGTACAGCAGGTAGGTGGTTCGTACAGGGGCGGGAGTGCCGGGACGGCGAGGGGGAAATTATGAGGGAAGGAGGGGAGGAGGGGGGATGTGTTTTTGGATGTGTACGGCCCAATAGGAAACAGCTGCCGGTGTCATAAGGAGGGGGGAAGGAGGGGGGAAGGCAGGGGAAGTTTTGGCGGGAAGAGAGAAGAATTACCGCCCACTGGGAGGCCCTTCTCCTCCTCGGTGATTGAGGAGGGCCTTATAGGCCTCTTAAGACACGTAAGAAACATAGGGCCCCGCCCCTCCTTGGGCACACGGTCGTCGTTGGGACATGCGGGTAAACAAATACATACACACACACACTCGCTATAGATAGATAGACACGTTTTTGACCCAAATTGCACCGGGGCAAACACACAAACATGTATACGGCGTACACGTGTTACTCCTCACCGCCGTACATCCTCCAATGTGGCAGCTCCTCCTGCCGTACTGATGTACCGCAGAAGCGCATCGCTCTTGTTGCGGGCGGCCCGCCACTCCCGACTCCGGACCTGTCGTACACCGAGATGAAGGCCAAAGTGGAAATGACTGTCTGTCTGTCTGTCTGTCTGTCTGTATGTATGTATATGTATGTATGTGTACCGCATAGCCGTTTCGGTCCCTTAACCGCTTAACCCTCTTAACCCCCCTTTCCCCCCTCCCACCTCAACCCACCAACTCAATGATCTCTTGCTGCATACCCTCCGCCACGCGCCTTTGAACCGTGTCAATAAGGCCCATTCCCCAGGCCACCTCAGCTTGTACGGCAGTTTGCGTCTCCGCGTCTGTAGAGGATGTTTTTTTGGAAGGGTTGTCAAGTCGATGATGGAGGGCGGGAGCTAAATGTTGCCGGAGAAGCCGGAGCCAATTATCGCCACCAAAAGCAACGAACCAACTGCTTTCTGTGGAGTTTACTACCGCCATTCCTGCGATGCGTTTAGGATCCTGCGGTCCTGCATTATGGCAGGGGGTTAAGGAAAAAGTGCCTACTGTCCTGTAAATTCACGACATAAATACATACAGACAGACAGACACGCGCACCCCTGCATGTCCTAAGGCCTTAACATTTAAAAGCAGCCGTCCACGTCGCCTCAGCCGCTCCCAAAACTCTCCGGCCCCGCTCTCCCCCCGTCCCTGTCCCTCCCCCTCCCCCTCCCCCCCTCCCCCTCCCCCTCCCCTCCCCTTCACCACACCCGTAAATCCGTTCCCAACCGCAAGGCCCCCCAATGTGAAGACGGGGGCCTCCACGTGCTGACTCAGCTTCCTAGGGTGATGTAGCTGGTCCTCAAAACCACTGGCACGGGCATAAGCCTGGGGGGGTGGGGCGGGGAGGGGAAAGACGAACCACGAACAACGAGTGAAGCTGCTGCCAAGGAAAGAGTGTACAAGAAGCCGAACTGATTTTGACGGCGGTTTTCAAGGCGGCGACCTCGGGCTGATGTAATGATGATGACCGCGGAAACCTACCTACCTAGCCGCCAAGACTAAAAACGTAAGAGCGGAAGAAAAGCAGTAGAATGAGGCGGGGAGGGGACGAGGGGAGGGAAGGAGGAGAGGAAAAGGGGAGGGGAGGAAGGGCAAAGAGGAGGGGAGGGGGTGTGGGAAGGGGGGAGAGGAGCGCGGCGGGGGGGGGGGATGCCGGCCGGTCGTGGGAAGGTAGGGGACGCCAAGGCCTACCTGTCTGTTTGTCTATCCGCCAGGTGCTCCTGGTTAGCCTGGTCAGCATTCGCTGCACACCCGCACCGCCACACCACGGACTGCGCCACAGCATTTCGACCGCCAAATCGGAGGGTGGGAGGGAATCCTTTTTGGACCGTAAACCCCACCCTTTGAACTTCCTTGCTTCCTTACCCATGTGTGAAACAGGGGGGTGTATCTTCACCCGAGGCCGCTACCCGGCGAAACCCTGCCTTCCCCGGTATTTCGGGGCACCCTCATCCAGTCACCCTAGTCAACCTCTCAGTGGGTAACATAGATTCCGCATCCACCACCGGCATCCAACGGAATCTGCCGGATCGACGGCGACCCAACTCCATTTCTGTTCGGCTCGCGAGTCAACATTATCCCAGGTCACCACCATCCACCGGCTAGGGGCACTTTACCTTCCACCGCCGGAAGAATTTTTGACCTTGACAGGTCTCGATCCCGGGATCTCCCGGGGGCAATGGTCACGCGTTACCAGTAGTGCCAAACCTAAGCATGCATGTATGTATGTATGTATGCTGTCGATCTGTCTGTCCATCTGCCCTGTGTCCCTCTTCGTATGCACTAACGAGCTCGTTGTGTCCACGCACATACATACATACACATAGACATACACACACACCATTTAGCCCAAGGAGTTATCCTTCCGCCCACCACCTCCAACTCCAACACCCCCAACCTCCCCCCCCAAACAACCCCCCAACACACACATACATACACACCTGCAAAATGAAGTGGGAGATGGAGGGCACGTACTTGCCAGCATAGCTCTGTGTGAGTGAGGTGGGGGGCAAGGTAGGGGGGAAGGTTGGGGGCAAGGTTGGGGGGAAGGTAGGGGGGGGAGGTGGGGGGGAGATGGGGGCGAAGAGGGTGGGCCGCAAAGGAGGGGGTGTGGTGACGGCGTGTGCTCTTAGTCGACACAGGGCGAACACAGGACGCAGGACACAAGGACGAACTCGCAGTCCGTTTGGTGTACGACGACCTCTCTCCCGTACGTACCTCCCCCGTAATGATCAGCGGCCGGCTCTGTAGCTCCGGGTCCGTGCGGTAGAAGGACTGCAGCGCCCGGTACAGGTCCCAGGCGACGTCGAGCTCGTTGTCGGGTATGGAGGCGCTGCCTGGCTCCAGGGAGGGTACGAGGGGATACGGGTAGGGAAGGCAGGGGTTGGGGTAGGGAGGGTGGGGGTTGGGAGGGGCCTGAGACAAAACACACATACATAGATACATACATACATACATGCATGCACACACAAGTATATGTGTATTATGTATATATAGTGTATATATAGTATATGTATATACTCATGCATACATCAGCCACCCCATCTCACCTCTCCTTCCCCTCCCTTCCCACAGGTTTATAACGCTGACCCGGAGAGCTTATCGAACCCCAGTACGGCTGTCCAGGCCGCCGTATATCGTACACTCAGCCAAGCCAGTCAGCCACGGACGAGCGACGCACCACCGCCACCGCCACCAACCCCACCGGGCAAATAGCTTTACGTGGTTCTTGTAACAATGTGATGTACGACCGGACACAATAACCCAACCCACTTCCCCCCCGCATCGAGAACCCAGTCAACCCCTACCTCGTTTGCTGAAGCCAACTCCGATGGGTTGCTCAATGAACAACATGCCGTACATGCGGTTCCATGACCCGAGGTTACGACGCAGAGTCAGGTCGTCGTTTACAAAGTACGGCCCGTTGATGTACAGCATGCCAAAAAAGGACGAGCAGCCTGGGCCGCCCTGGATATGGTGTGTTAAGAGGAAAGGGGTGGAGATCGGATTTGGAGTGGGATGGGACGTGCGTGGGTGTTTGCCTATGTGTGTGCGTGTGCGTGCGCGCGCGTGTGTGTGTTTGTGTGTGTGTTTGCCTATGTGTGTGCGTGTGCGCATGTGTGTGTATGTGTACGTTGCAAGGGGGTGTATTGAAATGGGGCTTAAGTGTGTGTTGGGAAAGGGGGTGCGGATTGGCACTAAAGAGGGCACTGGATCCAAAGCATCACATGAATTCCCGTCCCGTCGCGGCAGCAAGCCGCTATCTCGCCAGGTCAGCGTTTGTTTGCAGCTGATGCAATTTTTGAAACGTAAGAAAACGCTAAGAGAATTATCAAGCACATAAGTACATAAGTACATTATGCACGAGCTTGGAGCGTAAATAGTCGGAATGGTCGGAAGTTGCGACCCATTGGGCCACGAGCACTGACAGCTGTCAGCTTAAGGGCTCGCACCTGAAGCCAAAGTATAATAGGTACGTCCTTGTCATGAGGGCTAGCCTCTTGAGCCTCAAAGTACATGTAGTACATAGCACTGCCCTTCTCCGGGTTGACATCCAGGTAGCCATAGCTGGTTGGCTCGGGCAGCGTCAGGTTCCTCTTAGCGTCCTTACGGAACGACGTTTCGAAGGCAGCTGGTTTGGATCTGAGGACATCCTTTCGCCGTATGGCAAGCTGCTCACCATCGACACGTGCAGCAGCACACAGCAGGCCGTCAAGGCCATAAGCTAAGCAGGCTAAGATAACGCCGACAGAAGCAGTACATCGAAGTTTCATACTTGAAGTGCTGGAAAAGTAAAAGCAACTGTCAGCGGATAGCCGCGAGCGCCAAGCGCCCAGCCAACGAACTAAATTCGTTTGAAGTTGAAACTTCGAAAGTCAAAGTGTGTTTAGCCCTCGATGGAATCGTTCCACACAAATAACCTCAGCATGCATGTCATCATTCCGATATTAGCTTCTTACTCGCGAGTAGTACGGCGGCTCTTGTCAGACGCGAAATCCAGCGCTGCAGCTGTATGCGTAAGGTTTGAATTTACTGAATACGTTTCAGAAGTACCTGACATCAAAACGATTTGGGTCCAGGCGCAGAATGGAAAGCAACGTTCGGCGTGTACAGTACGACGCGTCGCTTTCTCGACAGCTAGGCGCTGGATTTCCTGATCCCAGTTTTAGGAAAATATCCTTGTTTTAATAAAAAGAACGTGGGGTTTCGGTCGGAAGTTCGTATTCATTTCGTAGAGCTTCCCTTGGGCCCCCGTGCCTTCTCACTGCAGGGTCATTCAGCGGTGTCAGCCCGCTGCATCTGGGGCTTGCTCTCCCCCGGCTTCATCCTGCTTGTGGGACCACGGCTGTCCGCCTCCGACTTCGCTGTCCTTGAGGGCACAACGCGCCAGCTGGTTTCCAAAACCCGACTCACTTAGCAAACATACACACAGGAAGCTGAACCGCTTCAGCAGATAAGTACATTCTCTTGCGGGTCAAACGAGCAGACGCCCCATCATGCTGTTCCCTTTCGTGACCTCTGCTCGCCTGCTGACGTCCGTAGTTTTAGGATGGAAGAAGCCTAGAAGGGACATTATTATTGGAAACGTGACGGCCAGTGCTTGAAAGGGGCCCCCCGTGAAAAGGTCCGCCTTGCCGTCTGCATCTGCCGCAACTCATGTCTAAGAAAAAAGACGAAGAAGGAAAACGAATGAAGAAGCTACGTGGTACTCTTGGAACGCGATTATTAAAAAGGTACAAAGAAGACAGCGCTGTGTGGAGCGTTTGAAACTGACCCGCGGGTCGGTTCCAGGACGGTGAGGTCTTTGGGAGACTTCTTTTGTCAAAAAGTCTTGCTCATCGCTTGCCATGTTCCTATCTGTTATATATTACTTTTTGAACGCAGGTTGTTCCTCTTTGTCTTTCTGTTTGCCTATCTGCCTGTGCCCTTCCTGCCTTTTCTGCATGTCCTGCCATGTATACATGCGAGCGAACGCACGCCGTGTCAGTGACCCTGCTGGATCACCTCCCAAGTTGAAGTCCAAAGCAGGACACCGCGTGGCATCCAACCAGACACCGCCAACGCACACCATGTCATTTCCTACACAAGATGAGTGATTATTGCCGTACCATGGTCGTACCATCCGTACACAAACCGTTGCAGCGGATGAACATAAAAACCCATCACATACGCGCACGCACCTACGCACGCAGACATACGTACATCCCCTACCCTGGTCCCTGAAGCACGCAACTAGTTGTCTCGTGTCAGTGGGGCACATTGCCGCTAGTGGCCGCCGCCGTAACGCTCTCTCGCAACTGCTGGATAACGACCCCTGGGTCGGCGGCGCCAAAGACGGCCGATCCTGCCACAATGACGTTGGCTCCCGCGGCCGCCGCTCGGTCGACGGTCGCTGGCGCCAGACCGCCGTCCACCTGACTCCCCGGGACATCCCCAACCAAATGCGGTGGGAGGGGGAGAGGGGGATGAGGAGAAAGAGATGGCGGAAGGACCTAGGTGCTGCTGCAGAGCAGAGCAGAGCTAGGCCAGATTTTTGGAAGACCCCTTCTCCCCATCACCCTCCTCGCTTACTACCTTTCCCGCTCGCTCGTCGCTTCTTTCACTGGAGGACCCTGGTCAAGCACGGTATTGCGTACTAGACATCGGGCAAAATTTCCACGCCCCCCCATGCCCTTACATATAGTAAAGTATTACCTGTTGAACCCCTAGCATCTACCCATACCTCCCATAAGGCCCACCCACCTCACTTTTCCACGTCACGCACCCACCTGAATGAGAAGGTCTGGAAACTTCTTCCTCAGCACAGCCGCCTTGGCCGCCTTATCCGCCATGAAGGACTGGCCTCCGAAACCAGGCTCCACCGTCATCACCAGCACCATGTCCACAAGCCCCTGCTCCACGTACGGCACCGCCAGCTCCACTGGCGTGGCGGGTTTTAAGGCGAGACCCACATGCATCCCCGCGGCCCTCACGCCGTGGCACATATCCACCACTGCGGGGTGGGGCTGGTCGGGGGCGAGGCTGTGCCAGTCGTCAGGACCGGGTCCGGCTGCGGCTTCCAAATGGAAAGTGATCATGTCCGCGCCCGCCTTGGCGAAGTCCTAAATAAAAAGAGGATGAAGATGTTGACGAGGGGAGGGAGTTTGGGAGAGCTGGGTTGGGGGTTGGGCGGAGGATGGGACGGAGCGGAATGCAGGAAGGCTGGTCATGTTTAATAAGTGGGGACGGACGTGGTGAGGGGGTGGTGAGGGGCTGGTCGAGGGTCGTCAAGGTCTTGTTGCTGGCGGATCTACGTAAGGCCGACTGGGACACGGCACGCAGGGCCAGGACGGCGCTCATGTACATGCATACAGACGAACAGAGAGACAAACGTGCAATGAGGCAGGGCAGGACACATACGAACATGCAGGCAAGCAGGCTGGCAGGACAGCAAATATACACGTTCCAGTAGGTGAAGCATATTCAGATCGTGTTGGCAGACGCTTCGCGAAACTTTATTCACACAGAAAGTCAAACTGACAGGGCAGCGGGAGACAAGGCAGGCAGGCAGGCGGGCGGGTAGGGCCGGGCAAAGGGTGTGTAGCCTACCTTGACCCAGAGCTCCGGGTTTGTGGTCATCAGGTGGCAGTCCAGGAAGGCGTCCGTGTGTTTTCGGAGCGAGGCTACGATGGGGGCTCCCAGGGTCAGGTTGGGAACAAAGTGGCCGTCCTGAAGGCCCTCGCCGGGAGGGGAGGAGAGGGGGTAAGGAAGGCGAGGGGCACGAGGGGAAGGAGGGGGAAGAGGTTGAAGGGGGGGCTAAGGACGTGCGCATTAGGAATATGCGGTGGGAACGGTGCTGAGGGGGGGAGAATGAGTAATGGAGGAGGGACTCGCTGCGGACGTTACGGGAGGTGAGGGAATGGGAGGAGAGATGTGAGGGCCACGAGCGGTTAGGGAACGGACAAGGATGGATGAGGAGGAAGGTAACGGAGGAGCAGGGTGGGTGATGAGCGGGTAGATCGTGGCTGTTTTGGCCGTTGCGATGCGGCAAAAGCAGTCGACACTGGGCGAAAGCAACCTTCGAGGAAGGTTGGGGTAGGTTAGAGATACTCTCTGTAAAAATCCTCCAGAAGTCTTTCCTGTAATAGAAGAGAGTCATTTTTGTCATTTGGATGGGTGTGTAAGTGCGACAGCGACTTTCGGAGATGTGGGTCTTTCTCAGTAGGTGAACCAGGTAACACGTCAGCAGGCCAACCGTCGCCACTCCGACATGCGCCTTGGGGGCGAGTATGAGTTCGATTGTCGGTAAGGGACAAGGAAGCGTTCTTACTAACTGACCATGACGTCTACGTGCAGCCAGTCTGCTCCTAAGTCAACCATTCGCTTGCATTCGTCGGCGAGTCGGGCGAAGTCGCTTGAGAGGATGGACGGCGCAATGATGGCAGGAGGCCGGTCATGGCCTTCAGAGCGCTTAGGAAGCGAGATACGTGTCATGGTGTCAACTTTCAGCCGTGAGACGGCTGTGCGCGCGAAGCTGTAGGCCCGTCAAGTGCAAACGTGGATTGCTTAAAACTGGTGTTCGCAAGCAATCGGTTACGAAATCAGGAGATACGGCTTGATGGAGCTAACGGGATGTGGAAGGTGACAAAGCCCGTCAACAAGCCGCAAATCGAGGGAGCGGCCCTCTAATATGTGTGATTGCTGTGTTACAGCCACAGCTTCTTAAAATCTTTCCCCAGGCTAGTTCTCAGCATAACTAGGCTTTGAGTCCAAATTGTGAAGGGTTTCGGAGCTAAAGTCTCGGAGCTACTAAATTTTCACTTGCTTCCAGCCTTCCCTTGAACCCAAATAAACTTTACGCAACAGACTTCAAACTTGACTAGTTTATGAACAATGCATGTTATCTTGTTTGTTATCTAAGACTCCAGTCTTTGATGTTGGAAGTATAGTTTTTAAGATAACAAGCTGCAAGATTATCCGTAAAATATTTGATACTACCCAATCAAGTGAGCTCTCACTGGTTACGGTGAAGACCACATGGAAGAGGAGTATGAAGGAAGCTATGAAGGAGCAGGCGGAGGATCTTCTGACAGGATTTCTCGAGAAGGTAATGTACTTATGTTGTTGTTTTTATGACAAAAGTGCAGCCAATCACTAACGCGTCGATGCCGGTTCCGCATGCACAGACAGCGAAGTCATTGATCTGTTCCAGGCAGTGAAGGACAACGATGTGGAGAGCGTACAGGTGGGTAACTTGTCATACGGGCGTTGAGCCTCGTTCTGGTGCGCTGCTTGACTCCGCTTGTGTCCTTGCGGACAAATTCGATATTCCGGACCTTCTTGGAATCACATTTCGGGACAGATCGCTTTGGATAGAGGAGCAGACATCGAACAGACGTCAAGCGGCGGCGTGACACCCCTGTGAGTTGCACAGAAAGCGTGCTGGAAACAGTTCCGACCTTTCCCTACTTGCACCTGACATTCCCGTGACCATCGTCCCCTTACAATTCTTCAGCGCCCAGCATCAAACATTCATATCTTTTCCTACATCTGGGTCCTTGTGCATCACGCATAATATGGTTTATTTAAACTGGGACCACCTGCAACAAAGTACGGTGCTGGCTCCCGTCGCAGGATCCAGGCCGTACAGTCCGGGTCCGTACAGGTGGTTGAGCTGCTTTTGCAGGTGAGAACAGTGTGAGTCTGGCATTAGACACCCGCAACTCAACTCAACACTCAACTCAACTCATGCAACACACCGCCAAGATATGTGAGATTTCTCGGGTCTCCTCTGTCCTACTCAACCGCCCACGACCTACAGCTGCCGTGACCCAGATCGCCTATGACCCAGATCGGGTTTGAACCGAATTCGTCGAACAGACATGGAGACAAAACCGTAAAACCGTACTGGCTACGGTCCAGTCCTCCCCACTAGGCACGTCCTTTCCCCGTGCATCTCTTCTTTTCCCTGTTACCTTCATGCACGTATGTATGTACGTAATATTCTTGCAGATGGGCGCTGACGTTCACGCGGCCACTCGCTCTGGCGATACGGCCCTCCATTGGGCCGCATACGGCGGCAGCGCGTCCATGGCCCGACTGCTGTTGGAGGGAGGAGCCAATGTGGATGCGGTGGGGGAGCTGGGGAACAGGCCCCTGCATGTGGCGGCCAGCAAGGGACATGACCAGGTAGGGCGAGGAGCGTAGGAGGGAGGTAGGCAGGCACAACCGGAGGGGGGCTCCGCGAGGTAGAGGGGTGTTAGGGTTTGATGCGAAATCTAAGTGAGTTTGCGGATTTGAAGTGTATGTAAGGTGCCGTGGGATGATGGTGGATGGAGTTTTACCGGACATCCGTTCGGATATAAAACAGACTGAGCAGTCAGTCAGTCAGTCAGTCATGGGAATCTGCACCAGTTTTTAGATGCTGTCCCATCCCTTTCAACATTGGTTTAGTCAGCCAGTCTGTTCGGCTTCTAGAATCCTGTCCCCATCCCCGTCTTTCCCTCCTCCCTGCCCGCCTTCCTTCCCTTCTCCCTCCGCCTCCCGCCTTGCGGTCGACCTAAGGTGGTGGGCTTGCTGCTCACACACAACGCACACACCAGCTTTAAGAACGCGTACGGCAATACGGCATTGACGCTGGCGGCCTCCCAGCGTGTGCAATCATGGATCAAGCGCGTGACAGAGGGCGGGGCAGCGGAGCGAGCCAAGCTGGCTTCGGAGCTGGGGGCAGCGGAGGCGGAGGTGGATGCTAAGACGGCGGAGAGACGGGCCAAGGAGGAGGCCGAGTAGGTGCCGTACGGTCAATAAGATCTCTCTGTACGACCCACCAATAACACGCTGAAATCCGTGCTGCAGTTGGCAGCTGAACCCAAGAAACATAGTTGATCAAGGACGCACTGGTTGTTTGATTCGGCTGTAAAGCAACGTCGTGAGGGGCTGAAGGCCCCACTCGGCCCTGACCCCTTAGCCCTGGCCGCGCACGCGCCCCCAAAACCTCACCCCGCACCCCGCTACACCCCACCTGGCACATCAGGGCCAAGGCCCGGGAGGAGCGAGTGGCGGCTGCTCGTAAGAAGCGGGACGAGGAGGACGCGGAGGAGGACCGACTGGAGGAGATGGAGCGGGCCAGACTTAAGGCGAGTTGGGAGAGCGCAGTAAAAGGGAAATAAGGAGAAGGGAAAGGAGGGGATGCGAAGGCGCGGGGACAGGCTGGTTTGGGTTTCGCCGGCTCCACTCTGTCGCGTTCCAACCCTGCTTTCTCACCGCCTTTCTCTTTCTACCCTATAATAAGGCCACACTGTTGCTTTCCTTGTACGGCAAGTGGAGGGATCCCCTTTCCCTCCTTTTTGATTATGCGTTTTTATGATCTGAGCCCAGCTGTGCGTGTCGTATCGTAGGCAGAGGAGGAGGAGCGGAGGCGGCAGGAGGAGGAGCGCCTTAGGGTGAGAGCACATCCGCTGCAGCTGCGGCTGTATGGGCTGTGCTGACAGCAGCGTCAGCGAAGGGAAGGGAACCGAGAGCCGAGGTGCTCGTTTGGGATTTGGCAATGTGTGTGTTACATGGTTGGGGGCGTGTGACCCCATACCTGTAGAACTACTCATATGAGCCGAAGGCCCAAGGGCAATACCTCAAAGCCGAAAAGCTGCGAAAAAAGGAATTTACCGCCCAAAGGGGATCCCCGAGCTGCGGTGAGCCCACATACGTTCCAACATCTTCGCCGGACGTGCTGGCTCCTACTTCATGGCTTCCAACATGCTCTGTTGACGATCGAATCCATCTTCCGCACATTCCGAATATCATTATAAGTTGAGCATTCCAATAACACGTGTTTTTCATCCTCGACTTGGCTATTGGTGCCACAACAGCCGCAAATCCGCTGCTCCCTGGGGACATGGTGCTTGCCCCTTCGAGCTCTGTTTGCCTCCAAAGTCCAGCAACATAAACGAAACTGCATTACCACACGATGCGTTTAAACGAGGAATGAAAACCTCCGCGTGTGTTGGATACATGACGGCTGCGCCCCCAAAAAGGGTTGAGCTGTGATTGTATCGCCTTGTTCCTTTCCCGTGGCGTGGCAAATGACCCGGTGCTGCGGCCGTAGCATTAGTGACTCGCCGCCCTTTTGACGGCCTCAAGGCCCCTGACTGGTTTCGGAGCCGTCTCATTTCACCCCCGTACTTCACATTTCGGTGTAAGCCACAGCACGGCACCCCCCAACACATTCACACGGCCCCGCGTGTTCTCGTCCCGCAACTGCTGGCCTTGATGTCGGTCCCGATCCGCACCGCTACCGAACACGGCTATAGAGAACAACCCTGGCCCCGCGAAGTTCTGCTCATGGAACTCTTCCGGGGGCCCCATGGGGACAGAGCACGTACCTTCCCCCATTCCGACACCTCACTCGTCTTCTCCTGTTCCCGTTCCCCGCTGCTGCTGCTGCTGCTGCTGCTACTGCTGCTGTGGCGGTGCCATCAGGCGGAGGAGGAGGCGAGGCGGCTGGCGGAGGAGGAGGCCAAGCGTGCGGCAGCGGAGGCGAGGCGGAAGAAGCGCGAGGCAGCCAAGAAGAAGAAGGGTCGTTGAGAAGTTCTCTGGGAGTTTTATACCCACACAGGGAGAAGGGGGAGAGAGGAGAGACTGCCTTCGGCTCCCCTTTTCCGCGTTACAATGCGCGGGTCCTTAAACGTATCTCTCTCCTCTGCGCCCCTTCTCCCTGTGTGGGTAAAGAGCCGAAGCGTGGAAGCGAAGGCAGCACAGCAGAGGGCGGGTATTACATTCCCTTTGCCTTTGGCTGCCTGGATATGGAATGTATATAAAGGTTGGCTATAGGGATACATGGGATAATCTTCCGGCAATTCTTTTCCCCACAAGCAATGACGAGGTTTTTTTACCTTCTCGGAAGGCCGTTTCGCCAACAGATGCGTGTTGTTGAAGGAGATTACTTCAAGAGTGAAGGTGGCGATTTGTAAGCGTGCTGTGCTCCATGTGTCATGCCGTGCACGAACAGGAAGAGAACAATTGCCTTCATTCCATATCATGTACATTTCCGTTACAACAAGATATTTCCCCGTCTCTTCGTGTCTCGGAAGGACAGTCAACCCTGCACCAGGATATAACATTCAACTGTCAACTTCTCATTACCCTCCTGCCACGTGACCAAGCAATACTACCTAATTCCGTACATCATTGTGTTTATGTATGGTATGCAAGCACAACAATGCCTGTCCCAACACATGGCTTCGCTCAATTGCCATTGCAGCCACGACTATCTATTCCACCACACCTCCCCTTCTTGATTTACATCTTGCCAGTAGTCTCGGTCATGGACATGAGAGGCTCAGAGAACCACACGATGTTGTTATCAGCCAGGAACCTGGGGGACAGTTAATGTAGGAGGCGGCACGAGCGAGGGACAGAAGTGCTTCCGTATCGTCATTCGTCGTCGTTGGCGAGGAGGACAGGCTTCACCACTAGCTGGGGTACGTATTCCGACAGATTCAGACAGATTGCGCCTCCAGCAGCGCGCCAAAATATTCAAAATACCCCTCCCTCCCAGGACAAGTGGCGTGTTCCTTAGTCATTCCCCGACCCCATCTTAAAATAGTAATGGAAATTGACGTACTCGCGTAGCTTGAGAGTGTGCTTGGCCATGAAGTGGTCTACGTAAGCGTCGTACGACTCCCAGGTTCCGTAAGCCACGAAGTAGTGGTTCATGGAGGCCACTTTGCGCAGACTGCATGCAACAAGGGCGATGCAGACAGTTGACAGCGGTTAACTGTCCAAAGCTGGGGAGTCATCAGGCGAGAGATCCTGGAAACGCCGATGCGCGGCATGCGCTTCGAAGGGGCAACCAAACATCCGGAAAGACGAGGACAAGTCTATGGTCGACCGACAATTAAAACCCTTTTCCCTTGGATAGATCGAGAACTCACGAGTAAAGCGAGTTCTTCTCCTCGTCCCAGGTCCCTGCAGCGCAGTCCTTCCAAGCGTCGATGAACTCACCCACCTGACGGCCAGCGGGTGATGTCGGGTGATTTGGGTTTATTTGGAGGACATGGCATTAGCTTAAAAGACAGTTTTGGATGCAAATTCAACGGAAACAAGATGTCGATAGCATTCGATCCTGCGACACGTCAGCGAGCAACAACTTTGCCGTCAAGAGCTCGAAGCCGAAGCTGCCACCCCGCCCCCATCCATCCAGTCTCTCCTTCCTCTACAGGCTTCCCCACCCGTTCCCCACCTTGCACCTCGAAGGCTTTTTTCTCCTTGAGTACAGTCGTACATAACGCTTACCTTGGATGGCAGCACATGGTACTCGATGACGACGTGCGCATTCATATCTCGCGGGTCAACGCCCTTGCCCTTGCCCTTGCGGCTGACCTCCGCCACCTGCTGAGTTATATCATGTTAACAGCAATTGGTTTCTACCTGGACTGCAAGATTCAAGATAAATAGACGTGGCGCGGCACCAGAAGTAACAGGAAGGAAACTCGGCAGTACGCAACAGCAATAATGGCGCTCCACTCCAAGATGCATATGATTGTAGTAGCGCCATCCAGTTCAAGCATCCACCCAACCACCCTTTACCCAACCAACCCACTAGCGTATCCAGGCATCCAATCGCACAACCACCCGCCTAATCCCCCACACCTCGCTGTGCATGGCGGACTTGTCGGTGACGTTCTTGAGGGGGTACATGTGCCACGTGACGTCCTTGTCATCCAGGAAGTTGAGGAAGTCCATCATGTAGTCCGCACTACCGCCACCACCAGGAGCAGCAGCAGCAGCAGCAGCAGCAGCAAAAACGTGAAGACCGAGGAAGGGCCACGCCAAGCCAGCAAGCTCTGTCAGTCCAGAGCTTGCCAATTGGTTTTCAGAACCGTTTTCAAAATTTATCCCCTGGATAATTTATCGACACTACTACACACCCCGACAGTCCCCCATCTTGAGCCGCAACCTCTTCAGCTGCTAGTAGTGTGTACATTTTCAACAACTTTTTGCGGTACAGCAGTTCTCACTTCAGGTGGTCCATGAACTTGTCCATCGACTCCCATTCTCCGTACTGCGAGAGGAATACACAACGGGGCGCGCATGGACGCGGGGGCACCCGCGGGAAAACCGTGACGTCTGATCACGAGAAAAGATGATTCGACAGCTTTTAAAAGAGAATTATGGGAAGTATTGAACGAGAAGCAGGAGAGACCAATGATTCGAGTAGCTCAGAGAGCAGAGCGCAACAATAGAAAAGCAGAATGCAGCACAGGAAAATTCACAGTGACTCTCGCGTTCGCGTGGGCCATCGGGCCGACATCTTCCTAATCTTGCACCTCCTACCGTCCAGAAGAACACGTTGTCGCCCATCGTCTTCTTCAGGTCGTACACTTGCAGGCCCTCGTCCTTCATCGTGCGGTCCTGGACCTTGAGCCTGAGTGGAAGACGCGGTCCGAACAGCAAACAAGCACCCACGAGGCCAGGGGCGAACATAAACAGCGCAGCACATGCACATGCACACAATACCATTCCACGCATTTCGGAAGTACGGCCACGCTCATGCCTTCCCATCAGGAGACGCAACCCACAACTGCGAACACTCACTACCCACCACTAGCAGCCTGCCAGGTGCACGTCGCATCTGCGCAACCCTCATATATCTCACCCCGCCACGTGTGGGGGCGTCCCGCTCGGCAACACACCTCTGATGGCAGCACAATCCAGACCGCCCACCCTGTTACGCACCAGGCGTCTATGAAGTCGTTGCGCATGTAGGGTGGCACGTTGTACTTGGTCGCGATGATGGCGCAGTTCTCCTCCTCCTCGCCCTGGTTAGTGCCGCGCGTGCGCAGGATCTGCTGCAGCCACTGCGTGTATGCATGTGAGGCGGAGGGGGGAGGCGGAGGGGGGGGAGGGGGAAGGGAGGGGGGAGGGGGGAGGGGAGCGGTCAAGGGGGTCAAGGGCGGTGTATGGGGCCGGTGATTGTGACAGAAGAACGCAGGGGGGTAGTGGATCGGCAGGTAGGTACAGCAGGCTTAGACCGTGATCATAACATTGCAAGTATTGATGTCTTTAAATTAGAGAAGAGAGGGCGAGCGTGCGCCACATCGCGCGTGCAAGTTCAGCTGGGGCGCAGCAAACAGTCGATTGCTTTCTACAACTTTAAAAAGCATCAAAAGTGACCCATGGGTCACTATTGACGGTCCCATTAACCTAATGCTCCTCATCCTCGCACGCCGGTCGCAACAGGTCGCTTGACCTCCTCTTGAATTTGAAGAGGTCGAGCCGCTGCGAGAGCACCTAACCCCGCACAAGGCTATCTCTCCCTAACAGGGGATTGCGGGCCCTCGTCGGCGCTATTGATCAAAGTCAGGTTCTGGCGACGTGTTGGGAGGTGTGTCGCGTGTCGTCAGCCAGAAGCGGGCGCGAAGCTGATCGGATGCCGCAGGTCAGGCCCAGACCAGGCAGGCCAAAGGCCCAACAGGTCCAGAGGCCGCCCGTGATCGCGCCGCTTTACGACACGACAATTACCTCTCCCTGACTTTTCCGTGCGCTCCTAGGCTGATTACCGTATCGCCTTACCTTCCTTTGCTCAGGATCAAGTAAGCAATAGCACGGAGAATTAGGTGGGAGACTTGCTTTCAGCGCTGCAGGATTGTTTGCCGGAACGCGGAAATGTTAGGTCGTCGCGCTAACGCACGCGCTACACTTTATAAAACAAAGTGTTTGGTTGCAGCTCCTTACATCCTCCTCCTCCCCCTCCTCCTCATTATCATCATCATCGTTACGGGGAGCCACATGACTGCAAGTTACTGTGTTGTGAAAGCTGTTGACCCCGCCCCGCACAGAGGGAAATCGCCTGAACGCCCAGACAGAGCTTCTCATACTTTTCCACATCTCTCTACACATCCGTCCTAAATTGTTATTCCTTACCTTGATTGTTTGGGCGTCGCCACCGATCATCCTCTCCGACAAACTGTCCAGTACGGTCTGGCGAGCAGCTAAGGCGCAGCCCAGCAGCGCTCCTAAGAGAAGACATGTTACCAAGAAACGCGCCATGATTGCCCTCCCAGCAAATGCGGCGCTGCGGTGAGTAACTGTCAGCACGGACTGAGGGTTATCCGACTCAAATCTATTCTTATCGAAGTTGAAGCGAAAGTACTGTCGACGTAGTGCAGAGGTCTCGCCGTTCCGATGATGTCGTCGCTGCTCTGATAAAGAATGTTCACCACGGCTTTTTAATACGCCGGGGGATGTTCGAAACCCTCGGCTCCGGAACTGACCGGAGTTATCGAGAGACTAAGGACCGAAGGGCATGACCTCAACGCCAAAGTCCACGACAGGTCCACGTGGCGTCACCGCCACGCAAGCTGTCGGAGGTTTTCTTTCCTTTTCAAAAGATTTGCCAGAATTTCAAGGTTCACCTTCACTTGGAAATAACGTGTCCGAAAACGCACCCGTGTTTGTCACGTGCTTGGATCATAAGGCAAAGCAAGATATCAACAGTCAAGAGCAATGCTATGGAATGAGATCATTGGCCAGGGATCGGGTGCAACAATGTCAGCAGAAAGACACGGATGGACCGAGGGGGATCACTCAGTAGGCATGCGCTGATACAACCCTTCTCGCGAAAACCGTGATACCTTAGTCATGCTACAAGTTGGAATACGTTTGGAAGAAAGGAATTTGTTAAAATATCTGCACAAGCATAGATTCAAGCGACCTTCAGTGCACAAACGTATGCCGCACGCGACCCCGCCCTGCGATCTCTGCTATACCTCCGCTCCTGCTTCTCCTCCTCGCACTTTCTGCATATTCCCCACCTCAGGCGCCCAAACAAACACATGATGATGCCATCTGCGCACCTGCTCTCTCTATCGCTCGCTCCAATACCTTATCCATTCGCAACGCAACACAAACCACGCCCATTCGCGGACTTGCTGTAACTGTAACACCTTCCCAGCATCATCGTGTTTGTTTGTATTTGCAGGTGGTGAGAATACGCACGTCGTGATAACAGAAACATGGAATTAAAGGAGGTCGCGATGTCCGATGGCAGCGATGCAACACAGCTGCAGAAGTTGTGTATTGCGAAAGCATAAAACGAATACAAGCATTGAAAGCCAGTAAGCAGAAGGCGGCACATTCGCACGGGACGTTAACAACGTCGCATAAGCAAACCCCCATAAGCCACCTGTCATAGCTCCGCATCCCCATTTGGGTCGCAACCCATCGTCCCGCCTTATATCAAAAAACGGATAATCAGCAGCGACATCGGAGCCGTCCTGGCGAAGTATATCCGCAGGTATGTCCGTACATCCACACTCTTCTCACCGCCCCTGATGGAGTCCCCTGAAGATGGCGAGGCGCCACGTGGAATGCAGCACACAAGCGTGGCGGCCACCGATAGCTGCCGACCGCATTCCAACGATGAAGCCACGCAGCTGCATGCACCCTATCCATCTCCCCTTTCCCTGCTTCGCGGCCCCTCTACTACGGACAGCCGGCAAGTTTCTTGATGCATCATTTTGCGGGACGCGACTCTCCTCCGTAGGTTTGTCAATATATGATTTGATGGGTCGTCGATTGGGAGGGACACCGCAGAGTGCGCTACATCCTTTTGAGGGTCGCCTGGGGCTCCCGACTACCTGAGGCTGCAGACCAAAGATGCTGGGAAGAGCTGCCGCAGTAGTGAGTGTGAGTGTTTCCTTTTGTTGACAAGAGACCGGGGCTTTGAAACCGGATCTCAAAGCCAGCCCCGTTTTTGTGTAAGCTGTATCGCACAGGGAGGGGCCTCGCTTCGCTTCGCGCGGCTGCAGCCTGCAGAATGCATGTTATCCGACACCTTTTGGCAGTGCATGCTTCTTCATGTCCGCCAGTCAATTCGCCAGCTCATAGCCTCGCCATGGCGCTAGGAGTATTTCTTTCCCTGACTTTTCTCGGACCTCAGGAACCTATCGGAGGTTTGTTAGGCCTTAGGGCATTGTGCTCCTTGCGCTTTTCGCATGCAGCGTGTTGCAACCACCGCACATGCACACATGCACACATGCACACAGAGATCTATCTATACACATACATACACACAAACAAACGATCCAGAGCGCCTGGTTGTTTCGGAGTCAGGTGAGGAGGGTGAATCAGAGGACCACCTTCGGGCCCCCTTTGCCACCGCAACACCATATCATGCCACGAGAGAAGAAATGGCAGGGCCCCTGATGGGACAGCGGTTCGCGAGGATGGCAGTGGCGGTGGCGGCGGTGTGAGGGACTGACGAAAGGGTGGCGGAGTTGGGCTCCGCGATGGTGGCACATTGCGGTGGTAGCTATTGGTGATGGCGGTGGTGATGGTGGTGGTCGTGGTCGTGGTGCAGGCTGGAGGGCCGGCAAAGGGCCGGACAGCATTATGGTGGTGTCACATAGCTGCCATGCAGCAATGCACCGCCCGTAGCACAGCGCAGCGCTACTGCCGCTGTTCCGTAGCCACCACCCAGGGGGGGCCGGTGGTGGAGAGGAAAGGATGAAGAGGAAGGACGGGTGCAGGTCCATCCGCGGGTGTGTGGCCCCACCCCACGAGGTGGAACATGCGGACTGTCCCGCTGCGGACCTGACCCTTCCGAGTGTTGTGGTGGCCGACGCGACACCAAGCGAAGCATCCTACCGCGACGATATCCTGCAAAGCAGAGGTGTACGCGGACCGACACAAATGGCCCATTCGGCCGTTTCTCCAGCCGCAGATTCGGCCTTTCCTGGCGGCCCGTGACGATGATGAGGACACGAGGGTGGCGATTCAGGTGAGTGGGGAGTCTCATCTTCCTGCGCGCCTTCATCCTCCGTTCACACAGCGGACCGTGGACGTGCATTGCCACCGCCACCTCCACCGCCACCTCCACCGCCACCTCCACCGCCACCACCAATCCCAGCAGGGCCGCTAACCATACCCTTCAGCGACCGGGCCGTGGCCTCTCGTGCCATGGAGCCACCAGCACCCCCACCCCCACCGGCACCAGCACCCCCACCCCCACCGGCACCGGAGCTGCCACTACTCCCCAGGGCCCCTGACCCGCTGGAGGGGCGGGTTCCTGCGGGGACTACAACACCCAAGGTGGACCGGCCCCATCCGCTGCCGTGCGAGTGCGCCGAGTGGTGACGTGTCGGCCGTGGCAGCTCGGACACCGCCGTCATCGTCACCGCTGCCGCCGCACCGTCCCGGGCAGAACCAGCAGCAGCAGCAGCAGCAACAGCAGCACCGGCGGGCGCGGCTGTTGTTGCAGAGGCGCCCGCCGGTGCTGCCTCCGCCGCGGCCGCCATCATGGCCGATGCCGCCAGCGCCGCTCGTGCCTGCTGCGCCGCCTTGTACTTCTGGAAGTCATCACTTTCGTCGCAGATGAGCTGGAAACTGCCCACCTGCTCTCTGAAGGGGTACCTGAGGTGCAACGGCGACAAGTGCGTGCGGAGGAGGTAGTCATGTGATGATGATGGTGATGGTGATGATTATCATTACCATTGATGATGGTGATGATGATGCAGGTGATGAGGGGGAGCAATGGGTCAACCTCCGATGCCGGGGGCCCCAACTGCCCCGCTGCCGACGCGAGTGGAGGGGACGGGATAGACGCACGGAGGGAAGAAGAGCTCCAGTAAAGGACCCGTCCCGTGTCTGCACCTGCACCTGCATGTACCCCGATCCTGACCACAGCCAGGTCTGCAACGCTCAACAGGCGACTCGACAGGCGACTCAACAGGCGACTCGACAGGCGACTCGACAGGCGACTCGACAGGCGACTCAACAGGCGACTCGACAGGCGACTCGACAGGCGATTCGACAGGCGACTCGACAGGCGACTCGACAGGCGACTCGACAGGCGATTCGACAGGCGACTCGACAGGCGACTCAACACGCGACTCGACAGGCGACTCGACAGGCGACTCGACAGGCGACTCAACAGGCAGGTCAGGTTGGGTCGGGGCTCTACTGCGACTCACTCGGCGGGGTCCACGTCGCGCATGTCGGGGGGCAGTGCGGCGGGGTCGGTGAGGGCCAGCCAGTCCGGTGGGGTGATGATGTTGAGGGTGTCGCTGATGACCCGGTGCTTCAACAGCCGATCTGCCTGCACCACGTAATGCGATGTGTGTAATGTGATGTGATCTGATGTGCAGGAGGTGTATTGTGTGTGTGTGAGTATGTTAGTGTGTGTGCCGCACGTTACGTCGCTATACTCGTGGTTTGGTTTGGTTTGGTTTCAGCGGAAACAGCAAGCAAGCCAGTTTCTTAACAATCGCCAACAATAAATCATTATGCCAAATAAATGACTACTAGGCAGATAGATCCACAAGTTCATTAAAAAGGAAGGTGGTGAAAAGTGGTGAAACAGATAGCACACAGAAGGCAGCCAACCCACCTACCCAACACGGTATGCATAGGGCCCATGCAGGCTGCCCTCTTGGCTGTCGGTGCAACCAAGAGGGCATCCAGACGAAGGAGACGTCGCTCACCTGCGTGGTGGTGGTGAGGGAGGGGCTGGCGTTCACCTCTATGAGCCAGGGCTTCAGGGTGTCGTCCACAATGATGTCGTACCCGTACAGCTCGAAGCAGTGGCGGTCATTCACAATGATGTTCTGACAGGCGCGCAGCGACCTGAGGATGACACCCTGCAGGCCCGCGCCGCGCCGTCCGGGTCGGGTCGGGTCGGGTCGGGGTCCATGTCCAGTAGGGGAGGGGGAGGGAAAGACGAACCCGTAGGATGGGGAGGGGGAGGGGGAAGGGGAGGGAGGCAGTGGTGGTGCGCTGCGCTTGGGGGAGCGCAGCACGCAGCTCGCATGTAGGTGGGACTAGGTGGGGCTTTAGGTGCCCTCGCTGTCTGCAGTCAGTTCTAGCCGCCCACCACCACCACCACCACCACCACCACCACCACCTAGTTGCACTTGGAAAACTCTGAACACATCGCTGCTGGCTACCGACTACGGAGCTCGACTAGCTTCTCGGTCAAGTTATTCCGCCAGTACCACCATCATCGGTGCTTCTCTCACCGCGGCTCCGAAGATCATTAGAACACGCACACAAACACTCACACAAACACGCACACACTCATAGGACCCCGGGGGGCTTATGTGTGTGTGTGTATGTGGTAAAAAGGGGGGGGACAAAAGAAGGCCCCGATATCGGGCGTGTAGACAGGGGGTGGGGGAAATGACCCATTGCGACAAGGGCGCCACCACAGGTGGGGCCCAATACACCACATCACACCATATCGTATCGCATCACTCATAAGAGCCTCCACAACACACACGCCTTCCAAGCCCCAGCCCCACCTCAATATCCGCAAACAGCCTGTCCGCCGCCTCCACCCCGCGAGTGCCCTCCAGGTACAGCCGCATGAGCTCCAGCGGCCACTTGTTGCCGTGCTGCTCGTTGTAGTCCTCGCCTGGCAGGTCAAGGGAGGGAGGGGGGGAGGAGGGGGAGGGGGAGGGGGAGGGGGAGGGGGAGGGGGAGGGGGAGGGGGA